TTCAAACTATTGTATTGTTCTTTCATGTTCTTTTTTGCACTAGAAATAAGATTTGTGCAGTGTGCATAGGAATTCATGTATGTTTCCCTCCAAATTATAGTCCACCCACCTACAACAGTGGGTTTAAAGCATTTGAGGACCCTTGTTCTAAAACAGCATTTCTCACCCTGGGGGTTGGGGCCCGTGGGGGGGTCGGATCGCAAGGGGATGTCAAAGGGGTCGTCAAAGACCATTAGAAAACACAGTATTTTCTGTTGGTCATGTGGGTTCTGTGTGGGAAGTTTGGCCCAATTCTATCATTGGTGGAGCTCAGAACGCTCTTTGATTGTAGGTGAACTATAAATCCCAGCAATTACAATGCCCAGATCATAGAATAGAGTTGGAAGAGACCTCATGGGCCAAGAAGCAGGAAAATCGCATTCAGAGCACCCACTGACAGATGGCCATCCAGCCTCTGCTTAAAAGCCTCCAAAGAAGGAGTGTCCAACACACTCTGGGGCAGAGAGTTCCATTGCTGAACAGCTCTGACAGTCAAGAAGTTCTTCCTAATATTCAGGTGGAATCTCCTTTCCTGTAGTTTAAAGCCATTGCTCTATTGTGTCCTAGTCTCCAGGGCAGCAGAAAACAAGCTTGCTCCCTCCTCCCTATGACTTCTCCTCACATCTTTATACATGTGCATCAAGTCATAGGGAGGAGGGAGCAAGCTTATTTTCTGCTGCCCTGGAGACTAGGACAGGGAACAATGGCTTCAAAACTACAAGAAAGGAGATTCCATCTGAACATGAGGAAGAACTTCCTGACTGTGAGAGCTGTTCAGCGGTGGAACTCTCTGCCCTGGAGTGTGATTGAGGGTCCTTCTTTGGAAGCTTTTAAACAGAGGCTGGATGGCCATCTGTTGGGGGTACTTTGAATGCAATTTTCCTGCTTCTTGGCAGAATGGGGTTGGACTGGATGGCCCATGAGGTCTCTTCCAACTCTAGGATTCTATCTTGCATATCAGGTATTTACATTAATGTATTGTTGAAGGTTTTCATGGCCGGAATCACTGGGTTGTTGTAGGTTTCTTTGGGCTATATGGCCATGTTCTAGAGGCATTCTCTCCTGACGTTTCGCCTGCATCTATGGCAAGGTGGTGAAGTCTGTTGGAACTAGGAAAAAGGCTTTATATATCTGTGGAATGACCAGGGTGGGACAAAGAACTCTTGTCTGTTGGAGCTAGGTGTGAATGTTTCAACTGGTCACCTTGATTAGCATTTGATGGCCTGGCAGTGCCCGGGGCAATCTTTTGTTGAGAGGTGATTAGATGTCCTTGTTTGTTTCCTCTCTGTTGCTTTGCTGTTGTAATTTTAGAGTTTTTTAAAATACTGGTAGCCAGATTTTGTTCATTTTCATGGATACTTGCCATAGATGCAGGCGAAACATCAGGAGAGAATGCCTCTAGAACATAGCTATATAGCCCGAAAAAGTCGTCTCTGGTTGCTTCTGGATCGAGAGAATCGGCCGTCTACGAAGACGTTGCCCAGGGGACGCCCGGATGTCTTGCAATCCTGCGAGGAGGCTTCTCTCATGTCCCCAGATGCAGAGCCAATCTTAAGAAATGGGGCTACAGGGTGGAATCCTCGGCATGCGAGTGCGGAGAAGAACAAACCACAGACCACCTGCTGCAATGCAACCTGAGCCCTGCCACATGCACAGTGGAGGACCTTCTTGCGGCAACACCAGAGGCACTCCAAGTGGCCAGATACTGGTCAAAGGACATTTAACCAGCTACCAAGTTTGCAAAATCTCTGTGTTTTTTTTCTTTTTGTTTTTAATCTGTGTGTTTTGTTTTGTTCTGTTAGAATTGTAACACAATGGTATGGTTGCTGATGACACGATAAATAAATAAATAAATAGCCCGAAAAAACCTACAACAACCTATTTACATTAAAATTCATWACAGTAGCAAAATTACAGTTGTGAAGTACCACTGAAAATAATGTTATGGTTGGAGGGGGGGGGGGTCACCACAACATGAGCAACTGTATGAAAGGGTCAGGGCATTAGGAAGGTTGGGAGCCACTGTTCTGAAAGGACAGCTCCGGCGATGGCATAGCAAGTGGTGCCAAGATGCTCTGATCTGGAGGAAGGAGTGCGGTTTATCTTTAAGGAGGCGAGGGAAGCATCAGGGATGGGGCTCACGTTGCCCGGGTGACATCACTGCCTTTGGGCTCCGTCTCCGCTTCCCCGCCTGGCTCGGCTTCAGTTTGAGGAAGGCCGGATCCCGCAGGCGGAGGGAAAGAAGGAAGGAAGGAACCGGAGTCACCCCCAATTTGTGGAGGTGGTTGATTTCCAAGGAGCCGGGGACTCAACCCACAAAGAGAGAAAGAGAGAGAGAGAGAGAGAGAAGAGGGCAGGGCAATGCCATCCCCAAGCCTCCCTTTTCGGGGAGCTCGCCTTCCCTTCTTCCTTCCGCCGCGACGTGGGTGAGTTTATTCCCTTCAGAGCCGGGGGAGAAAGGAGGAAGGAGAAAGAGAGAGAGAGAGAGAAGAGGCGGAGGAGGAGGGGAGACCCAACTAGGCAGCAGCCCAAGGTCTGGAAACGGCTCCAATCCGGCTCTGGTCGGCGGGAGAACTCGGCTCGGAGGAGGAGGAAAACGGCGCAAGGAGGGAGAGGGAGGTAAATAAAGCAAAGGCGAAGAGGAGGAAGAGGAAGACCTCGGCTCCAAAACGGGCCTGGTTTCAGCTCCGACGGCTCCGAGGAAGAGGAAAACGGCCTGGAGAGGGAAAAAAATACATGTAAATAAATAAAGGCCAAGAGGAGACAGACTTCGGAACAGGCTTGGACTTTGGGTCGGGAAATAGATCTAACTAATCTATCTAAAGGTTTTCCCCAGGGGCTTGGTGCTCATCTCTCATTTCGAAGCCGAAGAAGCCGGCGTTGTCCGTAGACGCCTCCAAGGTCATGTGGCCGGCATGACTGCATGGAGCGCCGTTCCCTTCCCGCAGGAGCGGCACCTATTGATCTACTCACGTTTTTGAACTGCGAGGTTGGCAGGAGCTGGGGCTAACAGCGGGAGCTCACCCCGCTCCTCGGATTTGAACCTGCGACTGTTTGGTCAACAAGTTCAGCAGCTCAGGGGTTTAACCGTCTGTGCTCCAATCTATCTACATGTAAATAAATCAAAGGACAAGAGGAGCAAGTCAGGAAAACGGACTGGAGGGAAATTTATCCATCTATCTGTCTATATATCTACCTATCTCTACGTGTAGATAAATCAAAGGCCAAGAGGAGACACATCTCGGAGCAGGTCGGGAAAAAGGACTGGAGGGAAATAGATCCATCCATCCATCTGTCTATATATCTATCTCTACATGTAAATAAATCAAAGGCTAATAGGAGACAGACCTCAGCGCAGTCTTGGGAGAAGGTGGACCAGGCCTGACTTCAGAGCCCTCTTGGGCTGTGGAAACGGACTGGAGGGGAAAAATACATCCCTTTCTATATAGAAATATATATAGAATTAAGTCTAAGGCGAGGAGGAAACGGATTGGATCAGGGAGGAGGAGAAGCCGCAGCCCGCCGGCCGGCAATTGACTGAGGAGCTCCTTCCTGGCCTTTCGGGCGCGGGGCTGTATTGATCCCTTTGGCCCCTCCCTCCCTCCTTCCCTCCCTGCCCCATTTCCGCCTGCTCTCCTCCAACGTGGGACTTCAACACCAACGCTCGGGAAGCCCTTCCTCGTCTAGGCTTCCGCCTGGATACATAAACATAGACCCAGAGGGGGGGAAGCAAGCGAGGAAGAGAAGGAGGCAGAAGCAGAGCGGGAAGGAAGAAGGACTCCCCGGGCGAGAAGGTCCCGGGTGGGAGTCGGGGGCCTCTCGCCTTTCCTTCCTTCCTTCCTTTCCGGCTCCATCTGCATCTGCGAAGGGGAAAAGCCCAGAGGAGGGCAAGGCCGTGTTTTCCTTGCTGGGGATTGAGGCGCGATGCCGGGGCTTTGCTGCAAAGCGGCGGGAGGGCTCTTCGGGCTTTTGAGGGAGAGCTGAGAAGAGGAGGAGGAGGAGGAGGAGGAGGAAGGCTGCTACAGCCAGGCGCTCCTTGCTCGGAAGCATCCCTGCTCCTTGTTTGTGTTTGGCTGCTTTTAGGAAGGAAGAAAGGAAGGAAAGAAGGAAGTCAGACGCATCCCTCGCTGCTGCTGCTCCTTGTTTGTGTTTGGCTGCTTCTGAGAAGAGGAGGAAGAAGAAGAGGAGGAAGAAGACTCTGTTTCTGGAGGAGGAAGAGGCTGCTACAGTTAGGCAGAAGCCTCCCTGCTTCCTGTTTGTGTTTGGCTGCTTTTAGGAAGGAAGGAAGGAAGGAAGGAAGGAAGGAAGGAAGGAAGGAAGGAAGGAGAGAAGGAAGTCTGAAGCATCCCTCGCTGCTGCTGCTCCTTGTTTGTGTTTCGCTGCTTCTGAGAAGAGGAAGAAGAGGAGGAAGAAGGCTCTGCTTCTGGAGGAAGAAGAGGCTGCTACAGCCAGGCGGAAGTCTCCCTGCTCCCTGTTTGTGTTTGGCTGCTTTTAGGAAGGAAGGAAGGAAAGAAAGAAGGAAGCCAGAAGCATCCCTCGCTGCTGCTGCTGCTCCTTGTTTGTGTTTGGTTGCTTTTGAGAAGAGGAGGAAGAAGAAGAGGAGGAAGAAGGCTCTCTTTCTGGAGGAAGAAGAGGCTGCTACAGTCAGGAGGAAGCCTCCTTGCTCCTTGTTTGTGTTTGGCTGCTTTTGGGAAGGCAGGAAGGAAAGAAGGAAGCCAGAAGCATCCCTCGCTGCTGCTGCTCCTTGTTTGTGTTTGGCTGCTTCTGAGAAGAGGAGGAAGAAGAAGAGGAGGAAGAAGGCTCTGTTTCTGGAGGAGGAAGAGGCTGCTACAGCCAGGCGGAAGCCTRCCTGCTCCTTGTRTGTGTTTGGCTGCTTTTAGGAAGGAAGGAAGGAAGGAAGGAAGGAAGGAAGGAAGGAAGGAAGGAAGGAAGGAAGGAAGTCTGAAGCATCCCTCGCTGCTGCTCCTTGTTTGTGTTTGGTTGCTTTTGAGAAGAGGAGGAAGAAGAAGAGGAGGAAGAAGGCTCTGCTTCTGGAGGAGGAAGAGGCTGCTACAGCCAGGCGGAAGCCTCCCTGCTCCTTGTTTGTGTTTGGCTGCTTTTGGGAAGGAAGGAAGTCAGTTCCGGGGGGTTCCCAATGGCCAGGCGGAAGAAGGAGAGGCGCCTCTCCCGCTGCTGAGGGTTTGGGCTCTCCTCGCCGCCCTGCGTGGGCCTGGCTGGGCTCCCACTCGGAAGTACCGCTCTCCCTTCCTGCCTTCCTGCCTTCCTCTTCTCCTGCCCTTCTGGGAAGAGTATTATGCCCCTGGGGCGGCCCTAAGCCATGGCTGCGGGCAGGCTGCTCCTGTACGCGGGGCTGGCGCTGGCCCTGTGCGCCCTGGGCATGCTGGCCGTGGCGGTCTGCTCGGACCACTGGTACGAAACGGACGCCCGCAAGCACCGCGAGCGCTGCAAGAGCCTCACCACCCGCAGGAACGACCCGGGCTTCATCTACAACTCCAACAACAACCTCCCGCTCCGGGCCAGCCGGCCCAAGCTGGACCGCTGGGAAGGCAAGCTGCTCCTGGCCCGCAACCGGAGGCAGCTCTTCGCCCTCAGCGCCGTGGACGAGTGCAACCGGCAGTACAACTCCACCAACATGGGCCTCTGGAGGAAGTGCCACCGCCTCGGCTTTGACCAGGACCTGGAGGAGCTCATCGCCAAAGGTAGGCTCTGGCGGGCAGGCCAGCACTCAGCCCTCTCCCTCTCTCCTCTCTTTCCTTTAGGACAGTACCAAAGAGGTGATGGCAATTGGGGTACATTGCCATCATCTTCAACCCCCCCCCCCCAACAATCAAGTCCCCTTGTATTCCACGGCTGGGTAAAATGCCACCCCTTATATCAAATGGCAACATCTAGCCTGACCTTTTGAGGAATTCAAAAACACTGGGTTGCTGTAGGTTTTTCGGGCTGTATGGCCATGTTCTAGAAGCATTCTCTCCTGACGTTTCGCCTGCACCTACGGCAGGCATTTATTTATTTATTTTGGTTACTTCTACCTCGCCCTTCTCACCCCGGAGGGGACTCAGGGTGGCTTACAAAGGCACAATTCGATGCCGGCATTACATAACAGTAGTATAAAACAATATAGCAGCAATTAACAGTTAACAAACAGTTCCTGCATTACAACAATAAAACCAATAAAACCAATACAAACCAATTACACCTCAGCGTTCGCTGTCTCATAGTCCAATTTCCAATTCCACTTCGTCAGTCCTGTCAGTCCTAGTTGTCTGATTGTCCTTATCTAGTTGTCAGATTGCCCAAAGGCCTGGTCCCACAACCACGTCTTTAATTTCCTCCTGAAGGAGAGGAGGGATGTTGATGACCTAATTTCCCCGGGGAGTGAATTCCACAGGTGAGGAGCCACCACTGAGAAGGCCCTGCTCCCCGTCCCCACCAACCTCACTTGTGATAGCGGTGGGGTCGAGAGCAGGGCCTCCCCAGATGAACTCAAACTCCGGGGTGGGACGTAGAGGGAGATGCGTTCGGACAGATAGGCTGGACCGGAACCGTATAGGGTTTTGTAGGTCAAAACCAGCACCTTGAATTCTGCTCCTCAGGCATCCTCAGAGGTTGTGAGGTCCTCATTAAATAAAGAACAACAATTGATCACCTTGATTAGCAGTGCATAGCCTTGCAGCTGCCCCATGAAAATAAACAAAATCTGGCTTCCAGAAACTCTAAAATCAGGACAATAAAAGAAGAACCACACTCAAAAACAGGGGGATTCAAACAAGAAACAATCAGGGCCAGCTCCTCCCATCAAAGGATTTCCCAGGCAGGAAGTAGTCAGACCTTGAAACTGCAAGGCCATTAAATGCTAATCAGGGTGGCCAATTGAAACATTCACACCAACCTCCAACGGACAAGAGTTCTTTCTCCCACCCTGGACATTCCACAGATATATAAACCCCACGTGCCTAGTTTCCAACAGACCTCACAACCTCTGAGGATGCCTGTCATAGATGCAGGCAAAACGTCAGGAGAGAATGCTTCTAGAACATGGCCATGTACCCCCAAAAACCTACAGCAATCCAGTGATTCTGGCCATGGAAGCCTCCGACAATACATTAAATTCAAAAACACATTTTCCCCATATGGAAAATAGCGCAATTGGGTTAAACCCTTGTGTCGGCAGGAATGAAGACTGACAGGTCAGAGGTTCGAATCTGGGGAGAGCGTGGAGGAGCTCCCTTTGTCAGCTCCAGCTCCCCATGTGGGGACCTGAGAGAAACCTCTCACAAGGATGGTAAAACATCAAAAACCTCTGGGTGTTCCTGGGCAATGTTCTTGCAGATGGCCAATTCTCTCACACCAGAAGCAACTTGTAGTTTCTCAAGTCGTTCCTGACACACACACACAAAAATCATGATAGTATATAGTTGGAAACTGCTTTGATTCCCCCCAGGGGTGAGAAAAGGGGTATATAAACACAGTTATATAAAAGCAGTAAATATATGGGGTGAGAGAAATGGTAAATAAACACAGGATATAAATATAGAAGGTGTCCCCCAACTACCATCTCAGATGACACAGAAAAGCCATTGAAAGACACTAGCATGTGGACAATTTCAACAGAAAGGAAGGAGGAAACCATGGAAATGAACATAATCTGGCTACTAGGATTTAAAGACTCTAAAATAAAGAATAACTCTCAAAAAGCAGGGGAAATACAGGCAAGAATCAAATCAGGACAGTAAATAAAGAACAATTCTAATAAGGCAGGGGAATTCCAGACAAGAATCAACCAGGGCCAGCTAATCACCTCCCAACAAAGGACTCCCACAGGCAGCAATCAGCCAGACTTTGAAGCTGTAAGGCCATTAAATGCTAACCAAGGTGGCCAATTGCAAAGTCACACTTGCCTCAAACAGACAACAGTTCTTTTTTCCCACCCTGGAAATTATTCCAGAAATATATAAACCTGACTTGCCTAGTTTCCATCACACCTCACAACCTCTGAGGATGCCTGCCATAGATGTGGGCAAAAAGTCAGGAGAGAATGCTTCTTAAATATACAGCCTGGAAAACTCACAGCAACCCAGTGATTCTGGCCATGAAAGCCTTTGACAACACATTGTTCCCCAAATCTTCATATATATTGTACTATATTTTCATATTATATTTTGTCAATAAAGGGTACATTCAACTGCAGTTTCCCTACCTATGGTGACTTTTGGGTCACACTGTATTTTTATCCACACACATAATTATTTTTTTAGACTCTCAGTTAACTGGAACTCAAGTAGTCAGAACTCTCAAGCAACGAGCAAATTAACTGAAAAAAATACATTAAATAAAAATATATTTAGAATACACAAAAATTGGGATACCTTCAGTTAAGTTGGTCTCAAATGCCTTAATTTGCTTTTACTTACTCTTTCATTACTAATATCAAGTCAATACAGAGTTTAGACATGGTATAGTATGGGGTATAGTATTAGTAGGGAGCCCCCAATGGTGCAGCCGGTTAAACCATTGAGCTGCTGAACTTGCTGACCGAAAGGTTGGCAGTTCGAATCTGGGGACTGGGGTGAGCTCCTAATGTTAGCCCCAGCTTCTGCCAATCTAGCAGTTTGAAAACATGCAAATGTGAGTAGATAAATAGGTACTGCTCTGGCGGGAAGGTAACGGTGCTCCATGCAGCCATTAAAAATAACTTTCCCTGCCCTCTTCCACTTGGAAACAACAATCATAACGTAACATAAAAAGTTAAACTTGACTTCCTACCTCCCACCTTAAAGACAATGAAAATATTATCCTCATCCCTGTAACTCAGGCATGGGCCAACTTGGGCCCTCCCGATGTTTTTGACTTCAACTCCTACCATTTCTAACAGTCTCAGGACTGAGGGGGAAAAGGAAAGGGCCTGAGGCTGTTAGGAATGATGGGAGTTGAAGTCCAAAACATCGGGAGGGCTCAAGTTGGCCCATGCCTGCACTAACTCCTTATCTACCTTACTATCTCAATATTTCAAAAATATTTTCAAGCCACGCATGGTTGAATCCATGGATACAGAGTCCATGGATACAGAAGGCCAATTGTATTGAGTCTGTTGCATTCAATACAGTTTATTCTCACAGGCAAATAGAGGATGAGAAGATATCAAAACATCTGATGCCAGTGTCTACCCAACAGGTGGGCAAAATACTGCCCTATGGATCCCCACATCTATTTTCCAGCCCTCAGCCAATCCCTTTCCCGGCCAAAGAAAATAGTATGTGTATTTTGCCTCTTCTAGAAGCCTCTAGGAACAGCAGTTGATTTTATACTCCCAACATTTTTTTATGACCAAATATACTCATTTTTTTCAAAGCCAGGACTTGCAGGGTTTTTATTTGTAGTCCATGGAGCGTCCCCAAGGCAGAAAAATTGGATCCATTGCAGCATCTCAGTCTCAGTCTACTCAAAGCATGGCTTTCTTGCTTCGGGTTGTGATGTCCACAATCTTATCCACTTGAGTAATGCTTTTGGCATTATCCTTGTGCAGGGAAAGATGGTTGGTGACAGTGCTCTGAAATGCTCAGTCCAAGAATGAGGACATTCGGTTGAGCTACAGACTTGTAGGGAAGAGATTTGTAAGGCCATCAAACCGATCTTTTAATTTGTGTCTTGTTGTTTCCATGAGGCTGCACACATCACAGTGACATCCAGAATCCTGCCTTAATGCACGAACGGCAGAGCGAAGGCACAGAGCCAAGCATTTGGAATTGGACCCTGATTAGCTGAATCCGGCTAATTTTGTGGTCATCGCTAATCTTACACCAGGAAGCTAGATTACTTCTGAATTAAACTAATAGGCTTCTATTAGCATCCAGCAGAAATGAAACAAAGAGAAATGAGAGTGAATGAGTGAGTGAGTGCAAGAGAGGCGCTTCGGTGGTTACAGGTTATTTACAAATGGATCCTTGAACTGCAATTGTCAACGTTATTGTTGAATGGAAGCAGTCAGAAAGCTCTAGAATGGATTCATTTTTCCTCTTTTCTCCTCACAACACACATCTCTTGGCCTCAAACACCAATATATTATTATCTCCTCCCCCACTCCAAGCATTTTGCTACCAATGATGGTCAATATGCCTGTATCAGAGAACACAAAAAGGAATTAGGAGTAGTGGAATATTGATTTGGGGGATGTGTATGTATTTACAAGATGTGTAAGGTAAAAGCAAAAGGTCTCTGCATGATTCCTGCCCGTATGATTGTACTGTTGTGTAGCAAAACAATCTCTTCCAATTGTTCTTGAGGTGCATTAAAGACATCTCCTTGCAAGGTTTTAGTTTTTGGACACAGAGAATAGGCTTGTTTACATTCTCTTTTAACAAGCGTTTATATTTGAAATGTTAAGGAACTGCACCACTCATTTAGCCAAGGTCTTCATTTCTAATGGCTTTTTTTCTGTGTAAATTCAAAGTAAATTTGCATAAATAAATATATAACTTGGCTCCCTTTGCTTTATGCAGTGATTTCAAAGGTCAGCAGTGAGACACAAAACACCCTGTAAAATAAAAAAGCTCGGCATCCGAGTGGAAGCTTGTCATCTCTTTGTTCTGAGTTCAAATGCAATCTTAGGTTTAATAGCCTGGAGGCATTTCAGGCTAGTGGCTGCTTGGTGACTTCATCAAATGCATTCCTGGCTCGGTTCCATTTGGTAATGGGCAAC